TATCATATGCAATTGAATAAGTAGACCATTTCGGAATTTGAAATTTGGGACTCTCTCAATGCATAATGGGACTCATACTTTTCTGATCAGTGAGTCCCTGGGACTCGCTGCAAGTAAACTGTAAAATTATCACTGAGAGATTACCGCTTTTTCTGCAGTCAGTGATTGACTTCTATGCAAAGTCATTTCTCAACTTGTGTTCCGTGCCATGTCATGCCTGTTGTGTTGATTTACTTCATATTAAGAAACTACTGCACTAAAACATTAATTCATAAATGTATATCATGTGATTTTATTTCTTTTTCTCAGTATAAATAACACGTACCCTGACTGTTCTACTCTTTGAATAAAAACACTTCATTCAAGCGTTAGGGAGTGCAAAGGGTTATGATGGAGGGGTGTTAATCATGAGGACCTGCCAAGTGGTATGATAGCATTGTTTTATACATGTCCTTGGCTAGGCCTCAGTTTCAAAATCAGTCCTTGGTACTTGGCCTTGGCCTCGGAAGCAAGTCCTCGGTCCTTGGCCTTGGCCTCGGAAAATTTCTCAAGTCCTTGGCCTTGGCCTTGCCTCGGAAAATTTTCCAAGTCCTTGGTCTTGGCCTCGGGTTGCCGGTCCTTGGACACAACACTGCTAACCAGGTGAACAATACAATGACTGTTGTCGTGAATGCTGCCTCGTTTAATAAATGGAGCACTGTCACTTTTAAAGCGAGAGTTGGATAATCTTGTGGGAAATCTCGTGAGAGTTGGACCCCTCGGGTTGCCGGTCCTTGGACACAACACTGCTAACCAGGTGAACAATACAATGACTGTTGTCGTGAATGCTGCCTCGTTTAATAAATGGAGCACTGTCACTTTTAAAGCGAGAGTTGGATAATCTTGTGGGAAATCTCGTGAGAGTTGGACCATGAAGTGGTGAGACGAATGCTGAGCTGTGCTTATTCAACTCAACTGTATTTATAGAGCACTTTCAAACAGCCATCGCTGCATACAAAGTGTTGTACATGGAGCAATTCAACATATACAACAAACAGTAAAGCAATACATCAGGCCTGATGTATCTGCAATCGCCATTGTAACCCGGCTGATATTAAGAGGAAAATATCGTCATTTGGGAGTTTGAACGGTGGCGGATGGTGGGTCGTGTGAACAAACGGGAAGCAGGGGAGATTAGTTGTTTTCCGCGTGTTTCAAGCACATAAAATATGCCTGAAAATGCTCACAAGCCACTACTGTTGTATATTTTGTCTACTTTTCTATTTGTTCGTCCCATTTGACAAATCTCAGTCTTTTATTTCATTAATGCTGTACATTTTCTATGTTCAGTCGAGAATAAAGCCTTCATAAAAATTTAGTGTTCGGTCAAGTCTGTCATAGACCCAGCAACACTGCTTTCGGATTGCAGTCCAGCTCAAAACACAGGTGAAATGCGCCCTCTCATGGCCGGTTGTTTTTACTGTGACTCATGATCGCGTGCCATTGTTACATTTTCTGCTCGAGCGCTTCCTGGCGACCGTTGGAAAAGTCTTTAAACAGGCCCCATCATTCATTAAGCCGCAGGGTTGAAAGCATGACCAAAGTAGCGTTTATAGTCCGGAAATTACAGTACTTCATTTTCGAAAAAATGCTAATTCCAGTATGCCAATACAGTGAAACTCCTCTACAACGAAATCATGTTTGCAGCAAGAAATTTTTCACAACAGGGGGTTTTTCACTAGCAAATTTGATCTCAGATGTAAACACACACACACACACACACACACACACACTCACACAAACGTATGTGTACACGCACACACAAACGTATGTGTACTCTTTATTTTTATTCCAATAGTGCATAAGTATGAGCATACACTTATTTGACACTTCATATAGTCAGTGTAGAAAGAAAAAAAGGGAAAGAAATTGCGAAATTTACAATCAGCATTCACTTTCACTTACATCAATTTCTTGGAAAATGTATTTTATTTTGCTTGCTCCGTCTTTCATTTTGATCACTTTTACCCTCTCTTCCAGCATCAGAGCTCTTCTTGTCTTAGCTGCTTGACATCAAAAGGTCCGTTTTGTAGCCATTTTAGCAATGCAACGTCCATCCTCGTCTGAATCTAACAATAACAAATACTTCCTGGCATGCACTAACAATAACAAATACTTCCTGGACTACTGCGCATGTGTAAACCAGTGTGGTGGTTGCTGTTGCCGTTTCCGTACAAAGCAGTAGAGGTCGCTGTTGGATTAGACTTCGTTGTAGTGAATCTCGTCACGAGGCAAGAGCAGAGAAAAAGATTTAGTATCACGCAACAGGGGTTTTTCTCGTTGTATGTTGAGCAGGAAAGTGGGAATGGTGTTAATGCATGAAGATTTTTTCACACTCAGGCGGGGGTCAGCAACACGCGGCTCCAAAGGCCCATGCGGGCCCTTTTTGGTCTAGTGGCTCCCTGGAGCTTTATAAAAGATGTTTGAAAATGGAAAAAGATTTTGATAGTAGGCTAATATAGCTCAAATAGATATAGATACATGTTGCAGCTCCAAAAAAGGAGAGCTGTGGTGTTGGTTTTTTAAAACGTACACTTTATTTATGCTTTTAACAGTCTTGACAAATACAGACACGTCTGCGTCCGACTCCGTGCCTTCTCTCTTCTTGTTCGACTCGAGAGGCATTCAAAGACAGCCTCCGAAAAACGAAAATTAATGATCACTTCACTGACACTAAGAAAAGCAAAAATAGTGCACCAAAACAAAAAAATCCAGCGAGGAAATCACAAAATAATTTCTATGGGGGCTTTTGTGAACACACAACAACGGAATGAATAACATAAACAATTCTGAGACAGTCCAGTCTCCTGCATACATACAGCATGTTTCCTTCATTGTACGTTTTATCGAAGGCTTTTATTTTTTTGTGGCTCCAGACATATTTCTTTTTTGTTTTTTTTTTTGTCCTATATGGCTCTTTCAACATTTTGGGTTGCCGACCCCTGCACTTGGGGGGTATTTATGTAGGTTTCGTTGTCGAGGAGTTTCACTGTATCTCAATGTACCAGAACCCCTAAGATGCCATGGCTGTGAGATCCTATTATAGCTGCTTTTAGTGCTAGTTGTTATTCTCAAATTATTTTTCTCTGAAAAGAATTGCATCGCTGAGGAACTAAGGGTGAAAGCAAACTCACCAAACATTGCACACACATTGGGCCTTGTAAAAAATTTGATATTTTAAATATCCAAATGCCATACATGGCTACAAAAAATTGGTCTGTAGAACCGAGACGTGTGAAAATTTGGAGCTGTATGGAATAGCCCAGGAGGTCTGGCTTTTTGACCTCATTTGGGAATTGAACACTATGTTTGACATTACCTAAAGGTCATATTTTAACAAACTCCTCATATAGAATATATGCGATCATCTTCAAAATGTGTGTGTTTCATCTTAAGATGTTTAAGATGAAAAGCTATTGATTTCGTTGCACACTGGTCCCATGGCGATACACTGTAAAGTGAAGAAAATTGGTGCTATTTTTGCGGTCTAAACCTGGGCAAAAAACGCACAAAACTCAAACAATAAATGTATCTGTAATCTGTTGCACTGAAGACTTTCACTTTCAGTTTTTTAAGTGTTCGCTACGACTACTTCACAAAATGTTACTGAACAATTACAGGGAAAACATCGTGATACTGCATACAAATCGGTGGCTTGATCACTTTAGCATTACATATACTGTAATTGTTTCATGAAACATGACATTTGAAAAAGCGTTTCTGAACAATCTAAACTCTATATAAATAAATAAAATCGACATATATAGCTGGGTGACTGAAATGTAGATTTTCTATCCTAATTTGCAGTCTTTACGATTTGCAAATGTAATAATTGTACTACATTGTGATGTAAATCTGAATTCAATTCATTGTTCAGCCCTCTTTCAAATTTTGTAAAGTGCCCCCCCGCCCCCCCCCTCCCTCGCTTATGCATAATTTGCTTGCATACATACCAGTACTTCCCAAAAAGCTCCAGTCTCATCTGTCCAGAGGACATTATCCCAGAAGGGTTGGAGCTTGTAATTGTGCGTTTTGGCAAATTAGTCATGTTTTTCTCAGTGGCCATTGTGGGCTTTTCTTTCTTTTACAGAGGCATACCAACAATTGTGCTTGTGCCTTTACACAAAGAACACACTTTACTTGATGTGAAACATGGAGTTTGGCGTAAATTGTCATATTGCAGTGATTGGTTATGCAACAAACTATTTACTTTTGGCTCATAAAAAAAAAAAGTCTGATTTTCATAATTGAACTTTCAGCACATTTTTATTTATTGTTATATTATCATGTTCACATATTTTAGCCACCATCCGGGTGTGTTTTCTTTCTTTCTGTGATCAAAAGGTACAAACATTTTCGATAAGTGCCAAATAGAAGCATCGCTTTGAGATGACCTCCTAGTGCACTGTTCTTTGGAGTGTGGGCAATTGGTCAATAGCATGCACTTGAATTTACAATCCGAAGCACCTAATTAGTCTTTGTTTTTGTCCAGTGGGAACCAACTTGGAAAGATCATGACATTAAGTGTGACAAAGTCTAATATCTTTGAACAATTTGTCATGCCTGAAATGTGTTGGTCCTCTGTTTCCTCATACGCCTATTCATATTGCTCTATTGCCATCTGAAAAGGTCATAATAAGCAGGATATAAGTTGAGCCCCAGTGATGGATAATTGTGCCAATGTAAAAGGTTGTAGTGAGCCATAGTTTCCTGTCCTCCCCCTTGGAACTCAATGCTGAATTGTTCACTTTTCTTGTCTTCGTGTCGTGCTTCATGCTACATCCTGAGGGGAGCTGCATGTGGAAAACCTTCAACTAGTCCAGAATTCTTCAGCCCGGATCATCACTCGAACCCCCTCCTTTCATCCCATCCTCCAACAGCTCCACTGCTCCCTGTCAAACGTAGAATCAACTTCAAAATACTCCTCTATACATTTAAAGCCATCCGTAACCTTGCCCCCCCTATCTGTCTGACCTTCTTCAAACTTCCGTTCCCCCTTGTTGCCTCAGGTCCTCATCCTCCCTCCAACTCTGTGTACCCTCTGCCCGTCTCAGCACGATGGGTTGCAGAGCTTTCAGACGCTCTGCCCCCAAACTCCGGAACTCACTCCCACCTAACGTCCGAAATATTGATTCTCCTCCCACATTCAAATCCCATCTCAAAACCCACCTATTTCAAATCGCATACTCAGTTTAAATCCATCTCTTCTCTTATTATTTATAATTTTATCTGTGGTTTTATTGTTCTTGTTTTGATTGTAAGGTGTCCTTGAGAGTTTTGAAAGGCGCTTATAAATAAAACGTTGTAGTGACTTCTATGTACATAATTCACCACCAACTGCAAATGTGTGAATGCAATGTTCATATGCTTGTCAGAGAGTTCACGATTATTTGGTAACGGGGTAGAAATAATTGCAGTCCCTTTAAGGACCGCCATTTTAGTCTGCTTGTTTCTATGGAAACTGACTTTCGGCGGGCTTCGTTTGGCGCGAGTGTTTTTTTGGTGTGCTAATAAAAAAAACACGACACACTCTCTCTCGGAGTGCGCACGTGAGAAATTGTCGCTTTCTTCGAGTTCTACAATTTCCACAACGTATTATTATTATCATCATTATTATGATTATTATTAGTATGTTGATCAATATTCTGATTTCTTGGACGTAATATTTTAAATGTTCTGTAAAGTGCTGCAGCGGTTGTGAAGGCTCTATATAAATAACAAATTGCATTGTATTCCCTATAGCATAGCGCCATCTAGTGGATGCATAACACAACCGCAGCCAGGGCTCTGTATAAAGTTGTATCGCATTCCCTTTAGCATAACTCCATCTAGTGGATCAGTAACACAACTGTAGCCACTATTGTAGCTTCTATTTTACACGCCCTATAATGCAGTGCACCCTATATATGAAAACAGCTTTAAAATAGGCCATTCATTGTGCGCTTTATACTCAAGAGTGCTTTATAATGCGGGAAATACGGTACCACCCTTTCACTTGCAAATGTGAAGCAGTCAGGTTTGACATGATTACTGCCACAGAAAACATAATTTGACAAACACAGTGTGTGCTCTCATTGGCATGAGCAGTGTCTTCAAAGTCATCAGTCAGTCTATGTAGTTTAAAGTTGATAAGTAGTCCCTCTACTGAAAGCGAAGGAGAGTGCTGTCTCTGAACATTAGAAAGGAAAGTATTGACACGTAGGTAAAATCTATAAAACGATCTCTCAAGCAGCTTCATGCTGATGTGCCTTCAGTTGCACATATTTTTCAAAAGCTTTAATGTCCTCGGAATCCCTGAAAGTGGCCACAAGAGAAAAATGGATAAAATGAATAAGAGTGGTAGCCAAAGAGCCCAGAACACCCTCCACAGAATTTTAACGTGAACTCCAGGGTTATGGTGCATCAATGTCCGTTTGCACCATCCGACGTCATTTGGGCAAAAATGTACTACTTCATGGGAGATGACCAATGCGGACACCATTGTTGAAAGCAAATCCCAAATATGTGAATTTGCCACAAAGCATATTGGGAAGCCAGAAAGCTTCTGCATGAATAGCGCTTGGTCGAACTAGAGTTTTTTGGCCAGCTAAGCAGGATAATGACCCAAAACACAGCTAAAACCACCCCGAAATGGCTCATGGCAAAACAAGATGTTTTTCTCAAGCTGTTCCTTTAATAAAAGTGTAAAAAAATAATCACAACTACTGTGGCAAATAGACTGAACTCCATCTTGATAAATTATGCGATGTTTACATTGATCTGTAGGAATAGATCACGTCACACGCAAACATATGACTCGAGCTTTCATTCATTCTGACGAAAAAAGTCTGGATGTAAACCTGGCTTATGTATTATTTTCAATTCAGTTATTTCTATTTTATTTCATAAACAGAGGAATACCAATGATTCAGTTCACATTTCTACATTTTCCAGAGAGAAATGTTAGACCCAAAATAGCTTCAATAATTTGATTTGATTTGACTTTGACTTTTTATTTGATCTCCCATAGGAGAAACTTGTCTCGGAGGACATGCCCTCCTTGCTGCTACATGCATTGAACAATACAAACACATACGCTACACCACATACATTGGACAATACATACAGTACCGGATGATATATACTCTACACACAATGGACAATACATCACAGTCATATGCACACCCCACACTGCCCTCATGTCCTCCTGATTATCTGTCTGCCTTCCTCTAGTTGTTTGTTAATTAGGCTGATAGCCTGCGGTATGAATGAGTTTTTGTATCGGTTTAATTTGCAGAGAAGGGTCCTGTACCTCCAATGACTGTAGAAAAGCATCAGTTGCACCGTTTTAACCTCACCAGAGAGGAATTTACTTGACCTTCCTGTGTTTCTGTCTTTCTCATTCCCCTCCAGATTGAAGAAGGCTAACATTGGCTTTGATCACATGTTCGAGGAGGTGCCCATTGTCATCAAAAACTCTCACCTTATCAATGTGCTGATGTGGGAGCTGGAGGACAAGTCCACAGTCGCTGACAAACACGAACTACTCAACCTATCCAGCAGGTCAGGATCATTGAGCATTTACTCAGAAACGTATGGTCAAACCAACATTTATTTTTTTATGGGGCATATTGTCCTGTTTGCCTAAGTCAGAAAAGGTGCAGAGCTGCACAATTTTTTGGCTATGTTGATCCTCCCATTGACTTATCATCGTGGAATGTATGAACTCAGTCTGGCTCTAGCCAATGTGGCACACCTCCCAATTTGACGATTGACATACTTTTACAAAAGAAGTTTCATTTTCAATATTGCCTTTAATTTATAACATCACAACATTCAAAATATGAAATTGAAAATGGAGCTTATCGGCTGCCTGAGAGGCAGGCGTCTCCAATGTGGAGCTCCAGTATGAAGATAATTTTGTCCCGCTAAACTGGCTGCGAGGGGCTAATGGCTGCTAATGCACACAGGAGTGGAATAAAACTTTACCGTGGCTATATGTCTGAAAGCTCCAACCAATCGCCACCAAAATTCATGTGCACATTCCTACTCTTGTCCACTTAAACCTTTAAAAAATGTAAAAATGGTCATCACATTATTTTTAGTTTTGT